CCTTCCCTTCCGCACCCCTTCCCTTCCGCTTCCCCTCCCCTCCCTCCCCACTTTCTTCTAAAATCTCTTGCATTTTCTTTGGTGAAGAATTTCTTTCAGGTGATATCAGAGTAGTTAGTAGTATTGAAGTATTATAATATTGTCTAATAAAACAGATAAAGTGAGGAATGTATGAAGTATTACTAAAAGCCCCCTGCCCCTCATTGAAGTACTGGAGAAAGCTAAAATGAAGGTAGAGGAAAGTGGAAAAGAGGTTCAGGTAGCAGGTTTCTACCGATTGGTACAACAACCTAGGCATTGCTATAATATCTTGCAATATCTCCAAAGTTCCATAAAATAAGTATAATTTCATAGATATATTTTAAGGACAGTGTTTTTTTAGGCCTGTGATATTTTTGACACATCTTAGACCTATGTTTCTGAAAAGTGTTGCATTAAAAAAAAAAATTGGTCTTCAGTGTATTTTCTTCAAACAAACCAATACCATAGTACATGGTTGGTTAAAGAAAAGACACTAACTTAATTTTATTGTCCATATTAAATGTTACAAATTTTAATTTCCTATCCCTCTTAAGTTTTTTTAGTGAAGTTATTCACCTTACATATCTCCCTTAAAAAGATTTTAAACATATTTTAAATTTTGTAATGTTTTTTTTTTTTTGTAACTTATTTGTTATCAGTGCAAAAAATTAATAATAGTAGATTGTCATAACTAGGGGCGGATTGTGATGACCCAAAACCTTGCCAAAAATTATCAATAAAATGCTTTAGAAATGCCCTAAAAACAAAGAAAAATTGCGTATAATATTTGGTCATAACCACTTCAGATGAACAACTCAAGCTGTTGTTAATGAAATAGAGGCTTCTTGTTTTGGTTCAATAGAACTCCGCCTGCGGACTAGAGATTTGGACTGTTGTTTAAAAAAAAAATCTCTGCCTTTATTTATTGCAAAATTGGCCAAACTGACAATGGCGCCGATAAGCATCTGAGGTACCTTGTATTACATAGTACTCACAAAGGCTGCCATGACAATATATACAGTGAAGAAATCAAATAGACTACTTAATAATTTTGTGATGAAAATTTGTATCACCTTGTAAATATTGTTTGATGCAAGTACCGTTAAAATAATATTAAAATCAACAAAATTAGCAAAAAATGCAGTGAAAGTAAGGGGAAGATGAAAAAAACTTATTAGTCGAAATTGGCGAAAATGCAGAAAAATTACAAATAAAAATGGGTCATTTCATTTTGTTAGAGCATAAAATGAATTTCTATAATAGACGGCATTGTTCTAAAGTGAAAAGAAAAAAAATCACATTTCATTAAAATCTGCCCCCTAGTTTTAACTGTTTAACAATTTGAATAAATAATATTGCATATTTTTACTGTAGTGTTGTGATTTTTGTGTCATACAGGAGCAGGTCGGTACATTTGCTCCTCAGTTTTCTGGCTACCAACAACAAGATTCTCAAGAACTGTTAACATTCCTTCTTGATGGATTACACGAAGATTTGAATAAGATAAAACAGAAACCGTATATTGCTATGAGTGACAGTGATGGCCGACCGGACGAGGTACAATTGAATACTTTGAAATTATATTGATTTGAATGTGTTTCAAGTTTCTTTTTGTTATTTTATAAATATTATTTCAAATTATATTACGAAACATATATATACCTGTAACTGTATAACCCTGCTAATAACTTAAATATTGCCAATAATTTTATTGCTGAAGTTAACCATAAGTTAATTACTGTGATAGTTATGTTCAGATGCCCAAATGTAAAGTAATTTCAGTTGTTTTAATTTCTGCCAAAAATTTTAAAACTAAAATGAAGTCTGTAATTAATGGAATTCATTTTTTATTTTAGATTGTGGCATCAGAAGCATGGGAAATCTATCAGAAAAGAAATGATTCAATAATTGTTGATTACTTCCATGGCCTTTTAAAATCTACAGTTGTTTGTCCAGATTGTGCAAAAATTTCAGTCACCTTCGATCCATTTTGTCATCTGTCTCTACCGCTACCAATTAGAAGAGAGCGCTACATTGAGGTGAGATTTGCTTGATGTGCAGTTTGTGAAATTTCAACATTTTTCATAGCGAACGAGAAAATTGACAACAAATTCTTAGCTCCAAAATGTACAATATTAATCAAAAACATACATTGTTTAAGTGAGAGATGAACATATTTTACAATAAAATAGGATAAGCATTTTGCTTACTTGCTTGTGTTTATTGCACGTTACTTGGTTTCAAAGGAAACCTATTTAAAGAGTTCAAACAAAGTTCACTCAAATAATGTTCAATGTTTCTTTAAGAAACTCCAGTGTTAGGCTTCTTGAACTGCCAGTTTAAGGAATGAAGTAAATGACAATGATGTTGTATCAGTAATCTTCTGGGGGAGATTAAATAAGGCATTGCTATGGTTAATGACAATTTCAATTGTGAATTTATTATATTAGAAGATGCTTATTTGAAAGAATTTAGTGTTTAAAAAAATTTGTGCTGTACGCTGCATGTGTAGGGTAGAACTGCCCACCTTTTTATCATTTTTATGTTAAAAAGATAATGAAAAACTTTTCAGCAAATTGTCAGGTCTCAAAAAGTATAATTTTTATAATTATCTTGGAGCAAGGTGAAAATTAATCCAAAAAATTAATGTAATTAATCAAAAATCCACGCTAGAGATTTACAAGGTCAGGGCTGCTCAAATGAGAAGTTTTGATCCTAACTGCCCATTGCAATGGCCTTCAAATAAACATATCAAGCAGATGATATGCTTACAGAACATGTGCCTTTTGCTGCTTCAGTTGTTAGGGTAGTCGTTCAAAACCCCTGTTCTTGTTATGCCTAAATGTTACTGTATTCTGCAAGTGAGATGTAGTTATAAATTAAAATGCTAAGAAAAAAATTTGGTCTCCTAAACGTTAGCGCATTGTAAGTTTGTTACTTTTTTTAATTTTTTTTTATTTTTTTTATTTTTTAAATTTTATATAATGCATTGTGCATGTTTGTTTTTCTATTGTGAGTATAATGTATTGTGTGTGTTATTTTTTCTAGGTCACATTTTTCCCATCTGATTTATCAAAGAAGCCTCAGGTTATTACAACAATGGTACCAAAGAAAGGACATGTGAACGATTTATTATGCGCTTTAAGCCACCAATGTGGAGTAAGCCCAGACGAACTTGTTGTTACGGAAATCACAAAGCATCATTTCCACAAATTTTATTCGAGTAATGATGCACTGGAAAACATTGATTCTAAAGAAGATATTGCAGTGTAAATAGTTTTGTTGAATCATTTTCTTTGTTTTTGTTACGTTTCAATATAAAACAAATTATGGCAAGACTCTGGCGAGAATCATTTATTGTCTCACTGTGAAACCTTTTCTTTTAAAGTTGTGTTTAAAGTATTGTAAAGCACAAAAAATCAAAATATGGAGGTAAATGTTTCTGAGAGATGATTTAAAGCAAGATATTTTAAAAGAATATTTAAAACGCTTTCATATCAAACTACTGAAAAAAATAGCTAACATTAAGTTATCAGTAATTTATTGTGTGAAGAGTATCCTAACTTTCTTGGCTGCAGCCTGCTGAATAAAATAGTTACCATATTTACCCTAATATAGCTCAAGCTTTTTCGTAAACACCACATTTTAAAAATGAGAGATCATCTTATATTTGCAGATTAAACCTACTTGGTTTTGATTTATGTTTCCATGTCACAAAACATGTAAATGTTGACATAACAAGCTGCAAAAGCAATAAAATATCATGCATTTAGAATACATAATTAAATTTGCAGACATATTCTCAGTATCCCCTGCAAATTTGTCAGTCAATTTACACCGATATTTTAAATTTCAAACAGCATAGTATCAAGTGAAATGTAACTTAAGAATGAATAAAAATTGTTGCTGAGATTTTGTGGCATAATGCTCAGAACAAGGTCACACGGACTGTTTGGTTGATGCCCTGTGAGTATAAATCTGTGTTTTGTAAGAAATGGAAATAAAAAAATTATTGTTGACAGGATGACAAAATATTTTTTTAGCAAAAACTTGCCCTTATCTTTCACGTTACCCTTGGAAAAGAGAAGTGGAGATGTTTGAGTTCGCATTCCTCAACTCGAACACACAAACATTAACAATGAAAACTTCTGAGATATTTTGTAAAAGAATGTGAAAGAACTCTTAAATAAAGGCCATGAATAAGAGAAGGGCTGGAAGAAAATGTGGTGATACAGAAGGAAACGTACATAAAGTATGGCACAAAAGATAGCATCAGTTTAGAAGAGTAAGAATGCAAATTGAGAGGTCTAAAAAGTCAGAAGACACCACAGAGTAGGAGGAGGGCCAAAAAGAAAGAAACAATGATACATATGAAGAAGATTAAGAGGATAGTGGCAAAAACCAAGATTATGATAAATTTATGGAACAAAAAAACAATGATAGCTCATGCAATAAGATTTAACATTCTCATCAGTTAGGCAATTTTATAGTTGATTAGAAAATTTGCCATTTTAGTTTGAGTAAATTAGAATTAGCTAAAAATTTGAGAAATTCTCACTAGGGCTCTTCAGAATTACTAGGTCTTCTTACATTCAGAGTTGACTTATATTTGGGTAAATATGGTATCTTTATATAGTAGATAATTGTAAATGCATTTAGGATGAGAACTATTCTCTGAGTAATTACATAATTAGTGTATTATTAGCATAATGAAACTTTCCCCATATAATCCTCCAGAAAAAACTATTTATAGTAAGGGTACCAAACTTTGGAGGAATTATTTTCAGAATATAGATCAAGACTCCCATGCATCTTTACTGTTACTTTTTCCTACTTTGGTGTGACCTAAAAGATGTGGTTTATCGTAAACACCACATTTTAAAAATGAGAGATCATCTTATATTTATATTATTTATTTAGATTAGAAGTTCCTCACATGTGCAAATCAGATGATAATCATGTCAAAAGAGGTATTGGGCGTAACCAAAGAGATGCATGCAGCACAGATGTGCTATCCAACGCTTTCAGACTATCCTGGACCTCTCAAGTGTTTTGTAGTTTTGGAGACCCTATGACCATATAAACAATAGATTTTGTATGACGCAGAAACGTGTTAAAGATGCAGGAATGTATGTGATTATTCATTATTTCTATTCCCCATTTCTTCAGCAATGTTCACATTACATTTTCTACACATGTGAGCATTCGTTTTGCAAATAGTGTTATGTAGGAAAAGGTGAATTATAACCACCTAGTACATTTTCTTATTAATCGTTTATTCAGAGGTGTTTTTCTAGATCAAGAATTAATTATAAATGCTTGTGTGTTTCAGATATGAAGTTCCACGTACAGAATCGCATGTTCCTGTACCTGTTGTGTTATGGGAAGTCAATACACGACAAGCTTTTAATTTCAGCCAATTGTTTGGTTTTCCTATGATACTTATGCTACCTCGTGATAATTGTACATATCATGACATATATAGAGCTATACTTGCGAAAGTTTACCGATATCTGAATCTGTCAAACGTTGAGAGATGTTGTTGCCATCGACCTGGTATGTATGCCAAGCTAACAATTAGTTAACAACTTTAGTTTTATAAAACTACATACCCCATTTCTTCCTCTCTTCTTTTTTTGTTTCACCGGGAGAGGTGGCCCAGTGCATCAGCTGATGTCACTGCAGTGCCTCTGCCTGCAAGGTCCAAAGTTTGAGTCCAGATAGTGACACGATTTTCTACACTAGCTTGCCAGCTAGGATGAATGCAGTCACTGTCTGGAGGAGAATTCTAGAGGCCACTGCTCTGATCCATAGTTTTACGTGGTTTCTTTGATCAACACCAGGCGAATGCTGGAGCAGCACCCTAACAAATGGGCCATGGACTGCCTGCATTTTCTCTTCCATGTCATATCTTCACCCATTACTCACACACCAACATGCTCTTTACTAGCACACTTGCTGGGAGACCGGTCGGGAGTTTAGAGATTTCCCGACTGGGGCGGTGCTTCACTGGTGGGAGACACCTGGCTAGGGGGAACCTCGCTAGTCGATAGGCTGTATGCACCAGATCTTGCCATCTCTTGGGGGAAGATAACTACCTCCCAGGGGGGAAACGTTCACTACACTTACAGGAATAAGTACCTTTGTAGTTGACGTGTGCAGACTCGCTAACAACCAACCAATCATTTGTTTCTGTATTTCTCCTGTTTCATTTCATGTATTTATTTATTACTTACAATATTTTGTAGATTAATGTGTCTCCCTCTATAACAAAATTCAGTTAATAGATCTTTAGGTGAGGTGTCATTTGATCACAGCAAAACGTAATCGCAATTGTCTATATCTTTTGAATAATTTTGTGCAATATGAGAGGGGCATATTTTTGTAAGTTTTGTCATGGTGCAGAACTTGTTCATTTTATGAGAAAGTCATCCCAGATTACAATGGGTAGCATAGAAATTAGATTTCTGGCAAATGTACTAAGAATTTCATTGAATTTTCTCAGACATAATGTACTGGATTAATTGCTGCTAAATGATATATCTCATAAAGGAAAACCAGATGTTTCTTTTTTGTTGTAATGAGTTACAGATTTGTCCACTTTCTCAATTTTGATAACTGGCTTAGGTAGCTCTGGGCATCAACTAATGTCTGCATTGCTTATAAACAGGAGGTCTTAGGGATCAAGTCCAACAAATTTCTTCAAAGTGGATGAGCTATAAAAGGAGCTGTTTTTGTTAAAGATACATGAGCTCTGGATTGGCCTCAAATCAAAAAGTTATCACTCGGATATTAAAACTATGATTTTTATTAGATTGTGAGGGAACGTGGAATAATGTATAATATTAGGATTAAGTAAAAAGTTTGTGAAGATTGGCATATGTAGAATATGTAAAAACATTTATGTAATCATCTCTTCCCAAGTTCTTGATATTCATTCCTACGTACAAAATTCCTCTTTCGCATCTTTTAAATATAATGTAAAATTTCATTTTTCTCTGGAACATCTTGAATAATTTGTTTTTTTAACCTTTCATATTGTGTTCAATTAAATTTTTAAACAATTTCTGTTTCTATTATACAAAGCGTGTTTTAATTATTGTTTCAAATTTTATTTTATTTTTTAAATTTTCAGATATTGCTACTGCCAGTACTAGTTGTAAGTGTACTTCTCCAGAAAATATATGTCATTTACTTCCCAATGATCTCTTCAGTTTGCACGTTGTCAATGCTTCTACAACATCAGTTGTTTTCAAACTTCATAATGATGGCAACCCAATTCAAATGCCAAGTAAGTAGAATAAATATTTCATTTTGTGGCTTTTGTTTGTGTAATATATATTGGACTACTTTCTTTCTACAATAATATTTTCTACTCTGCCATTGGAATAATATCTATGTAGTTGATTTTCTTTCATTGGATTGTTGAATTTTTCTACGTAACCATATAATTTTGTTATCATGTACCATCTTGTAGGCAAAAAAATAATTCATTCTATTTGTTATGTAATGCTGCAAAAAATTGGTAAGAATTTGATGCAAAAGCATTGAGTGGAGCCTGATTCTTGGAAAATTTGTGTTTTTTTTCCTTCCTTCCGTCCTTCCCCTTCCCTTCCCTTCCCTTCCCTTCCCTTCCCTTCCCTTCCCTTCCCTTCCCTTCATTATTTGACACAATCAGCATTTTCATTAAAAACTTATAGAATTCCAGTTTTTTCCAACCCTCTTATGCAATTACATAATTGTTGCTAGAAGGTTTTTTTCATATTGCATTTCTTCTACAATATGAAATCTGTAAATGATGTTACTTACTTTTTTCTTTGAATGAAGATGCGAGTAGTTTTTATCTAATTTTTAATCAAATTGTGTCAAATTACCAAAAATATCTTAACAAGCTATCTCAAAAATGGCTCCAATTTGTTTCTCAAATTTTTTGTTAGAAAAAAGAGCAAAATGACCCTAAACGTATGGTATTGATCTATTTTTCGTCAAAATGTGTAAATTTAAAAAAACCGCATTTGCTTACAAGATTGTGTCCAATTTTTTTATTCTTGCCTGATTGGTATTCCATGGTCAATTTTCCTTCTCCAATTTTTCACTTTGTGGTTAATACATATATTGAAGAGGAGGGGTGATAATCCACATTCTTGTCTTCAGCCACTGCTGGTAGTTTGTTGGGATTGGTTTGAACACCTGATTTGGATTTTCTCATCTTCAAGTATTTCTGCCTGTTTACTTTGTCATTGTTTTCTCATAATCAATAAGTATTAGAGCTTTAAATAAATGTGTGTATTATTTTTTCAAAATATTAGTAGTTTTTGTGAAATTTTGAATTCAACTACAGCAATTTTCCAAAATTCAACAAGATTTTCGTGAAAACTGCTCTAATAATTCTCTTCACTTTTTGCAAGAATTTTCACTTCACTTTTTGCACAGTATACAGGATTAGTGTTATTTTCGGTTAAACTTCCATTTTTCAAAAGGAACTGTTTGTAATTTTTTCAGACATTTCCTGTGCTAATATTAAAGTTTCAGATATATTGTATAATTTAATGAATTTGTAGACATAAATGCTTCAAAAGATCTTTTGTAAAGTTTCTTGAAATCTCGAAAGTTTTTATGTAAATATTCCCTCTCATCGTTCTTCCCCCAAGAAGTGCACTCTTCCATCTAGTCCAGATAGTAGAAAATAGAGGCACACACTGATGCAGCTGTTTAAATCCTAGAATGATGAAACATGTTTTTCTTCAAATTTTTGGCTCAAAGAGGGAATGTATGGCAATAAATACAGGATAAGTCAGCCTCTGAAATTTCAAAAATTGTCAAAAGTCAAATATCCTGTGCTTAAGTTCCAAGAGATGGCTAAAGAATTGGTAGGTTCCAAGTTGCCATATTATGTTACATAATATGAATAGAAAACAGAGGGGGAATAAATACAAGTAATATGACAAGTATATTCTGCTGTAACATCACTAGTTTAAAATTTTCTTTTAGTTTCAGATGTCATTGGTCGCCAGTATTTAGCAGCACAATGGACAACTGAGAATCGCAAACAGTATTTGAATTCCTTCATCCAAAATGAAATTGATGGTCGTGATTCAGGACGGCAAAAGCGGTCACATAAAGTACAGTTAAAAGATTGTCTGGAACTTTTCACTATGTGTGAAAAACTTGGTGCGGATGATGCCTGGTGAGTATTTCCAATATTTTTGATTTTTAACCCTTAAGTTGTCACAAAGGGAATTTTAAAATGGTTATGCAGGGTTCCTGTAACTACAGAATCAAAATCTAAATTTTATTACTATCATTTTATCACAAAATAAAAATTCTGCTGGAAAGAAGGATAACACAAATTTTGACAAATGAAATTAATTGACTAGTCCTTTCTTACAAATAACAAATGTGAAAATATCGGTTGCCCCCTTGTAGGATTGGTGATTCTATTGGACGCTACAATGTAATGCGCAAAAATGTCATTTTTGTGTTAAAGTCCCTAGGAACACTTGATAAAAGCAAAAAGATTTTTTTAAAGAATTGTTGTTTTTGTGATCTAAGATAACTCCTAATAGAATATATCATTTAGATGAGATCGTGAGCTCAAACACTAGATCAGGGTCAGTTTTGTTTAAATTTTTGGATCAAGAAAATCATTGGTAGATTTAGTTTTTCACCTTACTCGTGCATCCAGAATCTTCCATTTTCACTTTCGGCACTCTTCCTTTAAGGTTATTCAATTCATCATTACTTTAATTTTTTTTTGTTTTTCAATATACAAAGCATCCAAGTGTAACCCATTTCTGTGTTTACTTGTAATTGCTAGTGATAAGTTTGTTCACTAAGAAACTAGTTTAACGACATGGTGCCTATATACATTTTTTCTTTAATGCTTGATTCCGTTATGAAATCAGTAAACACATCGACATTCTCTTTGTAAGAAGAAACAAACTTATTAATTATACAGATAATTTTTGACAATTTTATGCGAGACACTTCGAATATGTGCTGCCAATTGCTTGTAAACAAACTATTCCAAATCAAAGTATAAATTGTGGCAGCTGAGCTCTTGAAAGGTTGGTGACTGACAAAAACGCCAATGATGTGCAGCTGACCCCAACGTCCCTGCCAAAAACCTTCCCTGCTACCTCATTATCATTGATTTGTTCTGTCTCCACGGGCTCTCAGCAGGTCTCTGAATGTGAAAGGAATGGTCTTGACACTGGAACAGCGGATGCACACTCTGACTGTGGGGTAGCACCGGTAGTTATGCATTTTGTTATGTCAACAATTTATGTTAATAATATACACAAAATATTTCTTTAAATAAATTGACATGGGTGCAAATTATCATAGAAGTAGACTAGCCCTTAAAACTATTAATTAATCAAAGCCTCTTATCACACTTTTTCCTTATTGTTAAGCATTTTGATTCCATTTTTGACTCCATCCTGGGTGGATTTCTGCTCCGTTGAAAAAATATCATTGAGTTTCTTCTCTTCGATCCATCGACATGCTTATTTTCCACATCTGGCGCCATCTGTTTTCTCTTGCCTAAAGAATATGTAACTATCTGTTCTTGAGAGGGGACTAAGAAAGTGAATAACTTTCTGATTGACATGGAAAGAAAGATGTTTGAACATAAAGAGGTTTGCAGATAAAGAACTGAAGTCTTGTTTTTTACCAAAATCACAAAATAAAAGAAGAAAATGTAGTGTATGTAGAAAGGAAGAGGGCAGGACGAGTTTCATCCCCTAATTCTGAAACCTTTTCTTCATGGTTAGAGTCGCCTCTTTACTGGTGAAGTCAGTTGGCGTAGCAAATCCAATAGAATTTCTTGTAAACTAGAAAGTAGTCTAATTGTCTATTTGGGCTAAAATGGAGAAAAAGGATGAAAGTTTTCGGTAAAAGTCTATTGCATTAATTGCATGGTCGGATCAGATGCGACCCGCAATGTGACACCTCGCAGGAAAACAGATGGCAGGAAGTCAAGGACACTTAACCGTACCGATGCGACCCTGCCAAGCCTTTCTGCTAGAGTGGCTGATAGGATCACCCGTAATCCTGAAGAGTAGCACAAGGGACGTAGGGGGGGGTCAGATCGGGTCAGATCTGATCCCCACCATACCTATTGAGGGTTAATAAATATTGTAGCAAGGAAAGATAAAATTCTTTTATGAATTTTTTGTCTTGTTTTTCAGGTATTGTCCTGATTGTAAACAACACCAAAGGGCGACAAAAAAATTTGATTTGTGGAAATTACCCAAGATTTTGATTATACATCTCAAGAGATTTTCATATAGCAGATTCCGTCGTGACAAAATAGATTCATTAGTGGAATTTCCTTTGAGAGATTTAGATATGTCCAAATATATTATTAATGATAAACATCCACCTGCTAAGTATAATTTGATAGGAATCTGCAATCACTACGGTGGAATGGGAGGTGGTCACTGTAAGTATTACACATGAATATCTACAATTACATTAATTATTCAGGAAAACTAAATGACAAGGTGCATTCAAGTTGTGGCATTTAGAATTATTTTATTTGGAACTAGGAAGAGAGAAAGATGCAGTTGGGCCTAAAATATGCATGAATTTTGTAAACTTATTACGTATGACACATAACTGCATTAAGTGCAGTTTTTGAAATATAACTGTACAAGTAAGGCTCTTTTTCAGAAGTTAAATGGCAATAATGGCAATGTACAGTTTATGAGGAGAGATTGTTATTAATTTTTGACATGTTTGGTGTACCAGTGCTCATTTCCAAGAAAGTTGAAGACGGTGGAGCTCCCTTACTTTTTTGAATTGAATAATTTAAAAGTACAATATCTTTGATTGGACCTTTTTTTAATACCAAATTGGACACCTTATAACATATAATTTAAAAGATATTAGTGGCTGTTATGAAGATTATGCAAGTGAATGGAAGTGCGCTGCACATCTTTAGTTTCTAAGTAGTGTGAATTCAGAGCTCCCTTACTTTATGTGCTACATATTAAGCTCTGGGTGTAACACCCATCAACATTCCATGATATTGATCTAGACTTATGGTATGTATGTTGGTGCTACAATTCAAAGGAAGCTAAGCATCATTTAATAAGTCCCAAGGTGCCTCTGTTGTGAACTGCTAGACTGGTATGTTTTCCTGAGTGGCAATGTTTTGAAACAATGAAGACATGTATTCTCTCAAGACGTAATCTTTCCAAAAGGGTTCTACTGTGAGGGGTGCATCCTATGAATGTGTTTTGAGGATGAAGCTCCTTCTGGCATTGCAAAGAAAATTAGTGTTAAGGGTTGCATGTACATAGTGAAGCTGCAGTAATGTCAATAAGCAAAGCAAGGGGGCCATCTCAGCATATTTCCACAATGGAGGTTTGTTCTTGGGATAGCATTAGCTTAATTTTTTAAAATTATTTATTTACTTTTAAATTAAAAGTCTGAGTACTATTGAATATGATACCTAGGAATTTTATGCCATTTTCAGGCAGGAATCTGTTCACAAAATACATACAATGAGCTGTAAGAAAGCTGACCGACTTTGAAAGAAGTCTTAATGCATAACATAATGAACTTAATTCAATGTTCAATGTATTTAAACGGGCATTCCATGTGAGGTATGACTGAACAGAGAGACCCAAAAATTTTATTACTTTAACATCAGTTCAGCATATTGTTCATTTTCAGTGGTGCATGAACTTTTTCTTTTTAACTGCCAAAGTTACTTTTGTCATGATAAATGTGTAGCATCCTAACTGCTAGTTTTTCAGTTTTGCTGCTCCTGCATTTGTGATTTTGAAAAAGTGACTTAGAGATATGTTGGAATCATAGTGCCCACATCAAAATTCTTTGTTTCCTTGGTGACTTGAAAAGTAACTGTTGCAACTTGCCGGAGTAAGTAGCTTATCAGAAAAAGTGATAGCTTGGAACTTGAATGCACCTTGTTTTGCAGACAGCTTTCTAACAATCTACTTCTTTCTTGCTATAAAGAAATATAAATCCTTTAAAATGAATCAACCTGAACTGATAAAAGTAGATCTTTTGTAATATAATTTGTCAAATCAGTTTTCATCTTTTCCAGACACTGCTTATGCTCTTAATAAAATTGATAAACAATGGTATTGTTTTGATGATCATAACGTGTCACCTAAAACTCCTGAAAATGTTGTTGTAAGTATAAACTCACAGACCCTGTGGTATTTAAAATTTGCCGACATTTATTAATAAATTATTGTTTGAATTATTTTTCAGACAAACTCCGCCTATGTTTTGTTCTACATAAGAAGTGACTAGCAAATGGTGTAATAGTGTCAGGAACACAGGGACTACTTATGAATGAACTCACACACCATTTTGTGCCTGTGTGTCTCCACCTCTCAATCTCTTTCAAATTTCTAAAATTTGCTTTGTGTCAAGGTTTTGTTTGTTGTGAGAGGAAGGGCATAATTTATTTTAAATTTCTGTTCATCATTTCTGTGATATTATTTCTATGCTGTATCTGATTTTTATTTTTTATTTTTTTTTGTTTGTTTTTGGTTAATTGTATCTCTATTGTCCAGCGGGTCTTGGAATGTACATCAATTTTAAAACCAAAACACCAATGATTACAGTAATGAAATTATACCACAAATTTACGTGCATTATGAGATAATACGGTGTATATAATTGAATGTCATAATAAATCTGTCTTATGTGCTATGTGGAATAACAATTTCATTCTTCATTATTATTGTTATTATTAGCCTCATTGAATGTACTTCATATTATGTGGAAAAAATCAACAGTGTCATAGTGTTACAATTTTTATTATAAATGCAACTTAAAACTATTTTCAAGATCATTTCCTGCAACTCTTAATATATTTTGCAATTTCTTTGTTAATGCAGTATTACTAATTTATGAATGAAATTGTGTTTTTGATAAATATTAAATGCTCAGTTCCTAATGTTCTGTTTGCCCTATTAACAAATACTGACACAGTAAGTGATTGGTATTTCGTCTTAATTTCTTGTGTAAAGGAAAGTTTTTCTTTGCATGCAGAATAGTGAATTTGCAATGAAATAGTCCAGTAAGTATTAGATATTTTTATGTATGACTGACATACAGCGATTCATTCAGTATAATCTATTTGAAATACTGTGATAAATGTGCTTAAACATTTTTGTACATTTGGAATGGGATTTCAAAGAATTGAATTTAGAATAGGAAATCTTTGAAACTAGTTGTAGCAAAGAAAAACCAACTAATAGGGGCAAAGTATAAATGTGGAATTTCACTTTGTCAGATTTTTCTTTGTATTTTATACAGAGCTACAAGAAACAGATGTATATGCAATCAAGTATTACTTCCTTGAATCCAGGTTTCACAACTTGGTCTATTGTTTGATGTGGAAAAAATGTTAGTTGGCAGTCTTTGCTAACGTTGTTAATAAATGTAAATTGTAATATAATTCATGAATATTGTCTATGAACATTACAGTGAACTTCTGTGCAAGTTTGCTATGAAAAGTTGGCCCAAGAGCTTAAATGACTTGAAATGAAAAAAATAACAGATTTGCCTACCCTGTTGAAGGCCTCGATTGACAGCTGACTGTTTTTGGTTTTTGAGGGTTGTGTCTTGGTACAACCTGTTTTTCCCAATAACCATTTGATATTTTTTTTTGAGCCAGAATTTCTAAAGAAAAGTATGCAAAACTACAGACACACTTTTACTTTCTCGCATACTACTTATTTCAAAACAAAATCTTGTAGTGCTGCATCCAAAACAAGGCAATTCTTCAAAAGAAAAACTTGAATTTTGGGACCCTGATACTGAAAAAGTGTTTAAATTTTGTCCGTATTTGTAGTAAATTACTTCCTCTAGCATAGTCAAAATGCATGTTTTGTGGGCAATAGATACTGAAAAATTGGTTGTCTGTAAACGTCTCTCTCGCTCTGTGTGTGTGTATGTGGGGAAGGGTAGTGTCGAAACTGTTCACACAATTTTCTCCAAGATTGATATTACTGCTTGATCTGGCCAAACTCTCGAGGTCCTGTGAACAGATATTTTGATCTTGGGGGGTATTTTATATTAAGCCTCAACATTTTTGAAGTTTTCTCAAAAAGGGTTCCAATTTTTTTCTTTTCAAAATATTCTTTCTGGATAGTGTATAAGATTCTTTCAAGAATGGCGCAGATCTAATTTCTGTTGAAATTCCTGATTTTTTCGAAAAATACTGAAGTTCAAATGTTTTTTCATCATCTTAAAACTACAATATTGAAAACAGATTTTTCCGTAATAAAATCTGTTCTTCAAACATATCTAAAATATAGGAGCTTGAACAATTTTTCAAAAATATGAGTAGTTTTTGTGTAATTTTGCATGAAATGTATCCAGTTTTCGAGCAATTATTTTCTCAAAAACTGCTCGAAATTTTTTATTTAAATTTTCTCCTCCTGTATATCAAGGAATGGTGAAAATTTGGTGTTGGTCTCATTTCTACGGAACTCAGTATTTTTGAAAATTGAAAAACTGCAATACTACAAAAATACGAATTTGAAGAATATATTTTTTGTTGTAATCAAAATCTGTTCTAGAGAATTAGATCATTAAAAAACTCGTGTACAATTTTTTGAAAAAACAAGAATTTTTCATGTAATTTTTCCTGGAACTTGTTGCATTTCATAAAAAAAAAATCTGTAAAACTGCTCCAAATTTTTTGTCATGCATAGAACAAAGAATGCTTCAATGATTGTATCAAGTCTCATTTTCATTGAACTCTGAATTTTCAAAAATTGCAAATTTAGAAATAATATGAGAAAGTGTGTACTGCTCTAGTGTTACTAGTTCTAAATTTGTTTTCTGTTGTAGTTATACCACAGTTCATTTAAGTAAATTGTAGAACAGTTAATTGTGTTAATGCCAAAAGACTCGTTACCTCTCCGTCTGACTGTGAACAACCACTGCATTTCAACCATTCACTGTCCTCAGGATTTTCTTCAGAATGTATATTCCCCTCCCCCTTTATTTAAGTACAATGAGGGGAAAGAAGGTGAGCTTTATTAAGGACTATCAAAGGGAGAGGCTGGTGTTCAGAGGTGTGCCAAGTCTAAAACTAAAGGGGGTCTGACTACATTTCTGGGCCCCCTTTTCAATTGAACTTTTTAATTTCTATATGACATGTATTATTGGTAAACAATTAAAACATAAAATGAGAATGAATTAAAACTTGCATGATATAATTCTAATTGTTTTTTTTTAATGTATGAGTAGTAAATCACAATTATTATACCAGATCGCTTAGAGAGCTGTTAAAAATAAAGGAAATCTGTTATTGAACATATTTAAGGAAATAATAGTTATTTATGCACCAAGTGTTTTATAAGGGTTCTAATGATCGAGCAGCGACAAAATGTCCTCTTGCTTTTTGTCACCCGAGATCAGTTAATGCCCATGGTACATACTTTTATTTTTTACCTAATTTTAATTGTTCATATTTACTTTTTTTTTTTCCTTTGGTCTCTGCTAGCTATTCGGACTTGACACGTACTCTTGCCAGTTGCCATCTATCACTGCCCAAAGTATATTTTATTTTAAAATTTCTTAATTTTTCGGTTTCCTAATACAACAAAATTTTATTTTATGGGTATTAAAGAACAGTAAGACCTCGACCTAAATGGCAATTTTTCTTTGAAATATTCGGAGCCGTTTTAAGAAAACTGCGTTTAAGCGCTAGTACTGAAAATTCAAAATTTCAAACTTTCACTGAAAATTTTTGAGTTTCTAAAAAACTTCATTTGAAGTACATCAACTCACAAACATAATGTTTACAAATTGCTGGAAATGTGCATATTAACAGCGTGAGATCTTCAAAAAAAGTACATTTGTGTAATTTTTGAAAGAAGTACCCCAAAATGAACTTTGTCATATTAAAGAGTGAAATTGCCACTCACTGTTTGAAAAGTTGCAAGAAACAATTCGGTACCGTTTTTGTGAAAATGGCGTTTGAGCGTTTCTGAAATGCAGAATTTTGACCTAGTTTTCTCAGAAAACGGTTGAATTTTCGAGAAACTATGACATTTAAAGCACTTGTACTCATAAACATAATAATGTGAACATATCGCCGCTATTGTAAATATCGTGAGAGAAGTCCAAAAAATTACACGTTTGTAATTTTTCTTTTTTTTTTAATAGAGAGGAAATTGATGTTTACGTTATTTAGTACTATCCCTACAAAAAGTTTTTAAAAAAATTGAAATATTTTTTTAAGAAAATATTTTTTGTTATTTTTTCAAATTGCACAAAAACAAAATGTACATGTCCGTAATGAAAGAACTCACTACGGGAAGTAAATTGTATTTGAAAGAAAAATCTCTATATATTGTTAGTAATTTTGTAGTTGTAAGAAGACACCCGAAAAATTTAAAAAGTTTCGAAAATTCAGAGTTAACGCTGAAAATCGGACATATGCCACATTTGTGTATTTTATTCTATTTTTACAAGAACTTTAAAGAAACTACTAAAGAAACTTTGTATTTGGAGCTGTTTTTGAAAAAATGTTGAAAATGTCCGAGGGGCTTGATGTAGAGTACTCCCAAATTTTTGAGAATGAGTTTCAAAATCGCACTGCCTTGAGTTAAGCCAGATCGACCGGGGAATATTCATTTTGGAAAAGTATACTTCCTGTGGTTTAGGAGCTAGTAGTGTTCACAGACTTTTAGGGAGGAAAAAAACACACCCTCGTAACCAAGGGATCCTAAAACGCGTATTTCCGTTGAAATTTCGAAATCGATTTTCCGCAGCATTACATAACTTTCCTTGTTCTACGTATATTACTCCGTATTCGGAAAAGTAAAATTTAACTGTTTTATTTAGTGAGATAACAGAGTTTTTTTTTTTTTTAAATCATCGGAGACTGGTTCTTCCGATAAGCAATTTTTCTTCAAGTGGACCAAAGGGTGCTTAAAGCAAGGCACCGTTCGGTGGGCCACGATGAGGTGATGTGTATTTACGAGCTAAAATAAGATGTCACAGGAAAATGGGACAGTACGCTATTTCATGGGAGTATTTCGCTTCAAATATAATAATATTAGTATCAGACATTTTTCGGATGGGGTTAGTGTCTAGTATTACAAAACAATGCGAGTTAATACTTTCACAGAGATGTCTTCAAAGAGTGCTGAATGGCATTTCTTTGCTTCGCAAAGCATTTGGAAAAGGACGTTAGGGTGGACTCGGAGGGGGGGGGGAGGGAAGCAACTAAAATAATTCCAATAAAAGTTATCGTTCAATCCTGACAGGAAACTATTAATTTATCCAGGAAGTTATTAAAGTGGGTTGATGAAGAGTAATATTTGATGTGTTGGTGGGTGAAGAGTAATATTTTTAGCAATGCTAAATAATACTTTGAAAGAGGACTATTGTAACAGTGAAATAATAAAAAAACAAAATAGAAGGCCCAAAGAAAATACATAGTTTAATTTTATTATGTAATAGTCAATAAACGATATTGTCTGTAAAGTGAAGTAAAAGAAATATCAATTTAATTAACTATATCAAACTCTTATTCGTGTGAATATTCCGACCGTTTGAAACCAAATTGAATTTAATCGGCTATAAGGGTCATATGTATATATCCGACACGTAGTAAGATGGGAAGGGATATTTCTATTCATTGCTC